ACTGCTCTGACAATGTTTAATAATAATCTAATCTTTTTGCGGTATAGAGTCACGACAACCAGCTTAACAGCCCGGGCGATTAGTATTTGACTTGGTATGCTAAACTGTAATTTCATTAATTCCCTTGTGATAGTAACTTCTCACTTCAGCACGACCATGTTAATGTGCATGAGACTGCTCAGACAATGGTTAATAATACCAAATATTTTTGCGGTATACTGTAGATTCACGACAACCAGCTTTACAGCTGATTAATCAACCTTACAGAGTTAATTACCTATTGCGGCATATTTTCCCGTTAGGTGACTATTCATGGCGCCATATATTCTATGCCTAACAATTTCAAAAGTATCACAAAGAATAACACCAATTTAATTTTGGGAGAGACTGATTTGACTATGACTATTCAGGCATGGAAGCGAAACCATTTTTTTAACATTCCAGAAATACTAACTTTTCTTTTAAATATTCGTATTGTTGTTGGAAATTTTCATATTCTTACCAGAAGTGTTCATATTCTTACTAGAAAAATAGACATAATAATTCAAACTTAAAATCCCGCATTCAGTAATGATTCGATATTTTGTTATTCCACCGCCAATTATATGATTGGCGAACGCACAATCAATGCATAGCCTTACATATAACCTTCTTCTCCTTGGGCTGAATAGATGGCGGCCATTTGGAGTTTCCCACCCACTAATAAACGTCGACGCTTAAAAAACAACAATAACTTTCATCATTTGAATAGTTTGAAAATGTATTTGGAATAGGTTTAACTTAATGTTTAAGTTCCCTGTTTAAGTAATAGAAAACATACGAGTCTTCTCAATTCATTTTGCATTCATGCGAATATCCTGAGTCTGCAATTACGGCTTCAATTTTTGAATTGCAGAATAATTAGAAGCACTATCTAGTGTATATAAGATATCTATGGCTTGACCTTAATTGCTTTTAGGTATGTAATGGAACTTTAATTATCAATCTGAAAATCCTGCGCCGAGATGAGAAGGCAATCTAAACATATTATAACAATTCATGTGAGACTATGATTAAATTTAAAATTTAAAATTAATGGTAGTGTATAGAATTTAAGATGTTCGCCTCTGCACAAGCGAATTCAAAAACTGCTTTGATTATAAATACTTGTGGGTGGAAATTGAATTAAAGTTTTTTGAACAAGAGTAGACTCAATTGACCAGTATAACCCACATAGGCTTAATCGATTCCTTTATTGATTCCATTGTATAGCTACTAGTCAAAGCAGCCAAGATGTCCTGTTTGTGAAAACATCAAAATCTTATTAAACTAACATTGAGCACGCTGGGTATGATAGGTATTGCTTATTTGCACGTATAATAAAAGATTGGCCGTTAGCAAAGCGAACCAAACAGCGCTATACCGAAAATGTTCATTATAATTATATGCCCTAGCCGTGTTGCCAAGCAAATTTCCAGAGTTTAAGACTCCGAATTAGAAAGTTACCCATCATACATTGCGCGCTCAATGCTTAAGGTTTAAGATTTTTCAAGGACAACGTTTTTCGAATTGGCTATAGATAAAACCAATAGCATGCATGGCAGTCTTGGGTTTTTGAGTTTTCTCCGTATTTGACTTGGTATACTAAGCTGTAATTTGATTAGTTTTTCTACTGCATTATGGCGATACTTCGCCCTTGTGATAGTAGCTATAACATCTACTTTAGCACGTGCATGTTCATGAAACTGCTCTGACAATGTTTAATAATACCTAATCTTTTTGCGGTTTGGAGTCACGACAACCAGCTTAACAGCTGATTAGTATTTGACTTGGGCCCCGTTTACACTATACCGGATTCGCTCGTCACGCGATCATCTTCTGCCGTTAAGGAGCAATGGTTAGTAGCAAATGCTTATTAGTTTGACAGAATTGGCTTGTTTATTTGGGTCTCTGGGATTAAAAATCTTCACATGCAGCCTTTCAATGCCTACAAAATTTGACCAACTCCGATAGCAATCCGGTATAGTGTAAACGGGGCCTTGGTATGCTAAGCTGTAATTTCATTAGTTCCCTTGTGATAGTAATTTCTATTTCAGCATGCATGCACGACCATGTTAATGTGCATGAGAGTGATGAGACTGCTCTGACAATGGTTAAGTCTGGTTCACACTGGTCGTAATTCATTGGCGATCTATTGTATTCTTTCCGACAGACAAAGCATTTTACACACCAATGACCGCAGACAATAGAAATCCTCGATTCTTACGACCAGTGTAAACCAGGCATTAATTACACCTAATCTTTTTGCGGTATAGATTCACGACAACCAGCTGCTTTACAGCTGATTAACCAACCTTGGAGAGTTAATTACCTATTGTATATTTTCCCTTCAGGTGACTATACTCAGTATGGCGCCATATATTCTATATGCATAATAATTTAAAAAGTAGCTATCACAAAGAATAACACCAATTTAATTTTGGGGAGACTGATTTGTCTATGACTATTAAGGCATGGAAGCGAAATATTTTTTAACATTCTGGAAATATTAACTTTTCTTTCAAATATTCGTATTCTTACTGTTAATTTTCATATTCTCACCAGAAGTATTCATATTCTTACTAGTAATATTCATAATAATTCAAATACTTTTAAAACCCTGCATTCAATATTCGATATTTTGTTATACCACCGCCAATTGTATGATTGACATGACGAATACACCGAATCAATGCATCGGATCACACGTACGTGATAGGGACTTACAGAACCTTCTTCTCCCTAATATCTCGAAAGATTTTAACACAGCTGACCTACAAAATCAGTGTTGTAACGAGTCACCCACAGGTCGAATCACGAGTCGAGTCACTCAAAGGTCCAAGTCACGAGTCGTGTCATTTCACTGTCCGATAGTCGAGACAAGTCAATGGCTTCATTCATTCAAGTCAGTACGTCGAATCAATTCTCCACTTAAGACAAGGGGCCGGAGTCGAGAACTCATGAACTTAAGTTGAATCAGCGAACATAAATCACAGTTTCATGTATATATCATCCCACAGTTTCTGTAATGTTCGGTACCATGTATTTTTATTTGGTGAAATTAATAATCAAATTCAACCACAAAGCTATAGCACTGCATGACTTGCACCATGCAGGAGTCGTTTATCACAAGTCAATTTAAAATGTAATTCCGGCAGCACTTATATAGAGCCAGCCAAAACATATAGGTATATATTTTGGAGGCTATGTTTTAAGAAGTGTAGCTTGCGTAGCAGTCGCTTTATTTTATTATTGTAGGTTTTGAGGATTTTTGACCATTTATTCAAAAATCCTCAAAACCTACAATAAAATAAAGCGACTGCTACGCAGGCTATAAGAAGTGTGGCACTATAGTGTATTTCTTTTCTAAAAACAGAAATTTAATAGGGAATGTTTGGGAATTTTGCATTGAACCATCGGCCTCATTCCCATCTTATTTAGTAATAACGGTTCGAATTTCACATTCAGGCCTTAAAATATCGGTCGGTCACGGACATTGTCCGACCCATTCATGAAATTTTCCGACGTAGAGAGGAAACCACCGGACATTCTGTCCGACCAAAGTGAAACTGAGGTTTATTGTTTGTCCGACCCGAGTGTATTGGTGTCCGACCGAACTGCAGCTTTGTCTGACGTAAATCAAAATGTACCCCAGCCCAGGACTAGAGGCTTGTATCATGTTAAATGGAAAATCAGAGTACTATTGTATAAAAGGTGAACTGGAAATGTTGTTTTAATGTAGTCTAGCGCGGGGCGGCGATCGAAATGGTGAAGTGGAAAACGGGCTTAAGTTGTCTAAGTCTTTTTTAATACTGCTGTTCTGGCAAGCAAGTTAATTTCGGCTTGGAAATAAGTATGAAAGAAACGAAGTGTTTAATATCTTTACAACTTTTACCGTTTATTCATTTGTGTCGGCATTCAGACTTATTTCCGAGTCAAAACTGAACTGAAGGTCATCGGACATATGTCCGACCCAAACTCAACGTCACCGGACATTTTGTCAGACGGCCCTGGAAAAGATATTTTAAGGCCTGCACATTGTTCACAAACTCAACGAATTTGACGAGTCATTTAGGGCAAAAATGCACAAAAAATGCACAGTCACTGACTCGAGTCAAGTAATTTTTCGTATCGGAACTCGAGTCACTGAAGATAATGACTGTAGTCCGAGTCAATGGATTGACCTGTTACAACACTGTCTAGTTTAACTTAACCGAGAACGTCTGAAAACAACTTAATTTTAGCAATAAGGGCCCTCAACGTCATTACATACTTGTAGACCTAAACATCATGTGAAACTGCCCAGTGTCAATAATTTTATTACGAGGAATTTGCATGCACGGCCTTCTGGCCCTTCTTTCATTTCGCCGTTTATAGTTATAATTTCAGAGATCGTACAAAGAATGTTTCGAAAAAACCATGCAAAGTTAATTAACTGCCTTTGCTGAACAAGCCATTCCAGAAAGACTTTAATCTGTGGCGCCATATATTGTCTATGCATAATAATTTCAAAAGTCTCGCAAAGAATAAAAGCATCTTTTTGGGTGAGTGTGGGACAATATAATGGAGCTTTAATTATTAGGCTGAAAAGGAGAACTGCTAATTGAAATACTCTGCAGGATATATACAGTAGATTATCGATCATAGAGAGCCGCTTATAGGTATTAAACAATAATCTCTTAAATTACCTTCACTGCAAGCGACTATCTATCAATTTAATTGCACAGTCGCTTTGCGGTTGATCGCCTGACCATGTAGGATACAATACCTATACTGTAATACCTAAACACACACGATAATTAATATTAATTAATGCAGTGCAGCTATTTCTGTATGAGTGGACTAGAAATTATAAAAGACCGGTTGTTAAATTGCATTTCCATCAGAATTTGTTTGCTGGTTAAACTGTGCACTTGTCCTGATTTTGAAACCGAAGACTCCGAGAACTACAAGTAAGTGCAGTAATATGTGCATTATATATGCATAGACATATATATAGATGTACATGTACATGTATATATATTTATATACTTACAATTTTATTGGTGATGTTCTTGTTAATATTTTTCATTGGGATACGAGCTGGGTATCACCATATAGACCTTGGTCCGATATTTCACTGTAAAGACCTCGCGCTCGGTTAATAAGTTATTAACTTTCATCCGATCTAGATATGAAGCTGTTGTTGGTTTGTTTGTGTGGAATAGTTCTATTGGTAAGTGACGTGGTGACGAACATCATGATGATTGTATTTTATATTTTACCAGTCAGAATACCTAGTAAACAACAAACTCATTCATCCAAGTCACCCAGTTTCAAACCTATAAATGTTCACCTCCGAACTCAATCACGCAGTCGCTCGTCCAACTAACAAACTAACTCTATAACTAACAAACTAACAAACTGATGACGGATTGGTTTCATAGTTTTAACAGTTGTTTCTAACATTGCAATTTAGGCGTTTTGCAAATCGCAAACTCTCGAATTCGAAAAAACTGGTGAGGTATGATATAAAAACAGTGTTGCATGTTTCATTTTATTTTTCTTATAGCTCATCCACTCAGATTCAGTTGAGTTAATAATATTTTTAAATGTCTCTTTTTCAAAAATATCTTCACAATTACCTAAAGTCAAGATTATAGACCCTATAAGTTCCATGAGGCCAGTTCACATGTAGCTGTGACCTCTGGCTATTTTCTTTGCTATGGGACTATATACTGTATGGATGTCATAAGTGGATCACAATCATGTCAATCATAAAGAACGAAATCAACCTACATGAAACAATGCCATGAAAATAATATATATTTAGTTGCGAATATATGGCCTAATCTCTAATCTTTTCTTTTTAAATTCTATTGTTTAAAAAGTAAATTTCCAGAATTTTTTAAGGGTCGACCCAAAACTGTTTTCCTTTTCAACGAAGCTCTAAGCTTCATAAATTACCGTTTAATTTGAACAAATTGATTTGAAGACTGAACTAAAATTACCTAACAATTTGTTTTGTGTGTAAAACAGTATATCGGCAAATGTAGTTTAGTTGAATGAACACAGTTTCAAAAATTTCACGAAGCGTTTCAAGTTAAATTTTACATTAAATCAAAGCTCACAAAATGCAAAATAATATACCTACAGTGTATATTTCGGAAATTTATTGTTGTATAGTTAAAAATAGGAATCTTTCAACTATTTTGCAGTTTTGTACAAAAATATGAAAAAAATTAAAAATTTAAGATATCGTGTTGTCAACACTTAAGCGCAGGGCCGTAGCTAGCATGTATAGTTGGGGGGATGTAGGCCAAAAATTTCCGAATGACGAAGGAAAATTTCCGAATATTTCATGGCATACGAAGCCACGAAGGTGTTTGCTATCCGGAAAATGAAGATGCAATTTACAAACAAAAATACACACAGTTTACGCACAGACATATTACAGAAGCATGCAGTGCCATAGGAAGCTCTTTTCTATTGGATTCTCTGAAATGCCATTTCCTGAAGTTTGGGGAAGTTTTGACAGAATTCTGATGGTCAGAAAACGGAGTTTTAGTATGATATTTGTGACGTTACTCTGAGTATGCATCCACAGCGGGCAAGCTGAAAAGTTTGCTTGGCCACGGTGGGAGTCGAACCCGCGACCTTTGGGATGCTAGTCCAATGTTCTGCCAACTGAGCTACGTGGTCAAGTCGGTTCGAGTTGTTAATAGAGTTTTAGTATGTCGAAATTTACGATTTGCTTACAATTTAGTAGAACTAAATGGGCGAAGGCGTATTTAATTAACTATATATTGCAGGAAAGAGTATATGTAATATCATTCTTTGCGGTTTGTCATGGATAATGTAGCCGCTTAAAATTAATCAATAGACCTTTCCCCTTATGAGTGAAATTTTGATCTAGACAAGCCTAAACAAAAATTTCATCACAGCTTGAAAGAGCATCACAAAATTAGTAATATTCCCAAGTTTCGTTGCGAAATGTTGTAAAATGCGGATAATATAGCCTTGCGAAGTTTGCCGTTTTTCAGTCATTGTATTACAAATGGGACTTGATAATCAGTTTGATCATCTGATTATCAATTTCCCGTTTGTAATGCAAAATGACTGAAAAACGGCAAACTTCGCAAGGCTATATTATCCGCATTTTACAACATTCAACGAAACTTCGGAATATTACTAATTTTGTGATGCTCTTTCAAGCTGTGGGGAAATTTTTGTCCAGGCTTGTCCAGATCAAAATTTCACTCAAATGGGGAAATTAAGGTTTATTGTAGAGGTGTGCAAATCCAATCCGAATCCGATCGGATTCGTTCGGATTTCGGAACCAAAATGTAAATTTCGGATCGGATTGATAAAGTTGTTTCGTAGTCGGATCGGACTTCGATATCCGAAATAAAATGAATTAATTATCCATGCATGCATTATCGCAAGAATTAATTATCCATACGTACATTTATCGAAGTATCATCGCGGTTTTCGCTGCATTATTCGTTTGATACTTCAATTGGACGTCACTTTGTCAGCTTTTTCCTGTTCGGAGTACTCCGAATTTTCGGAACACTAATTGAATCGAACCGAAAACGGTCACATGACTGTTCTGACTGCCCCTACTCAAAAGTAGGGGCAGCCAGAACAGTCATGTTACCGTCAGAACAGTCATGTGACTATTATTGGTTCGATTTAATTAGTGTTTCGAAAATCCGGAGTACTCCGAACAGTAAATGGAACAGCCTCCTTCTTGACATGTATTTCTTGCTTTTATATTTATTTGGTTAAATATTTCAACTTGAATGAGAAATTTATTTTATTAAAGAATTCTTCGGATCGGATTGGAATTCTTTTTCAAAACTCGGATCGGATTCGGATTAGACAATTTCGGATCGGATTTTAAACATTAGGCAATTGTCGGATTATAAACGTCCAATCCGATCCGATGCACACCTCTAATCTATTGTCAGTATTTTAAAGGTATATTATTTAAATGATAAAGTTGTGCATGATTTTGAAATAAGAATGATTATCAGCAAATTATTGTAAGGGCTGCTGCCCCCAGTCCTCCCCCTTCCCCCCAACTGCTACGGCCCTGAGAAGTAATAAACCGAAAAACATTTACCGATTTACGATTTGTTTTACGTTATCCATGTAAATGCCGTGATTTCGTAAATCAGTTTATACCAATGGTTTATACTGACAATACTACATTTTATAATATTTTCTCTGTTTAATAAACAACTAAAATTTTGTTATACTATTGTTGCCGTAATTTTCCGAATGGCCAACCCGATTTTGCGAATATGTTAATTCTACAAAAGTTGGGGGGGGGGGGGTGTTAACCCCCCACACACACAAATACCCCCCTCGCTACGGCCCTGTTTGAGCGCGAGCCTGCGTTCAGTGTCGGCCATTTCTGAATACTTCATGTTAATTTAATGTTTGGAAAATATCGGCGAGAGGTTACTGCATGCATGTATTTCTAGTACATAAAATTTACTTACGACAAGCTTTGATGTACGTGTGCCTCAGCAGAGCTCGAGTGCCGAGACATTCAAATTTTAACAATACATTATTTCAATAGTTTTCGTTTTTTTGGGACACCCTTGATAATCTAGTACGGGGACCTGCCAAAAAACCGCCTAAAATTTGGCACTTTTGTAATTATAAAGAACTACCTCAACAAAGCAGGACGAAAGTGCAACGAGAACGGCTATTGATATCATACGAGAGCATAAGTTAACAATTAAAAACAGACGTTTTACAGGGGCGGATCTAGGATTTTTCGTACCTCAGTCAACATTTTTTTGGTGGACGGGGCGTTATCGGCGCTGGGCGTGGTCTCAACTGGGCGTGGTTGACTCCAGACGGGGGGAGTTGGCGCTAAATGCTGATAGTCCGCCATTGGATTTTTAGAATTTTCCCTACATAAAATGCGATTTGGTCCTCCCCCCACACCTATTAACCTAAATCCTAATTTAGATTAAAATTGATAAACTCAAACGAACATTTGATTCTTATCCACAGGCACTGTAAGAACAACTACAAATGCACAAAGATATATTGATCCTATTTCAATACAAAATTTTATAGATAGGTTAGAATTATATAATACTTTAAAACTCATCAGCAATTTAACATCTTTGCCTGTGGATTAATGAATCGTCGTCATATTGGTACTATATGCTTATAAGTGTATCATTGTAAAACTTCTAAAATCATATGGCAGCAAATGCATTAAGGAAATATACTGTTCTGTTACCAAAAACACAGAACTATACATAACAAGTAATTGCCAGTAGCCTAAGCTCTAAAAAAACAACCACGTATTCACTAACTAAGTCAAAGATGTTAAGTCAAATATTAATAAACTAAACCCTTACTATTAATAAAGTCTAACTGTGGTCTATATATTGAATACAAAATATACTATTAATAAACTAGTAACATCAGAATGGCTACCAGTCAATGAGCTTTTCAAGCTACATAATTAAATATTTCACATCATCATGTTACATCAGACCAATGCGGTCTAACAAGCCATGTCGATAGGCTATGATAAACAATACACGTATACGCGTTAACGCGTACATGTTGTGTGATTAATGCATAAATATAAAGAAATTTTAAATAAAACTTCACTAACATGAGAATCAACAAATGCTTACAATGTTGACGCGAGAATTATGCTAATACAGCAATACAGCATAGCGAATATATTAAAATATCATATGTCAGACAATCATTAACAACACCGATGGCTTGGTACTCGGTAACTCCGGTTTGTAAACCTTTAATATGAACTAAGATACATCACTATAAAACCATAAATTTATCTACCTTATTGCAGTGCAAGCTTTGTCTTTCTCTAGCAGTAGCTCTCTGCGCCAAACTTTCTAGCGAGGCTTGTGCTTGTGTTGTTGATGGCGCCGCTCAGTAGCTTGTCAACAAAATTCGTCCGTGAGGCATCGATATTCTTTTCAAGCTCCGTATACAAATGTTGTATAGAGATTCCAAATTGTTTGCCGCAATCGCAAACTGAGCATTGTCGAAAATGTTTACAGATATCGCTGGTAGAAATCGCTCGTAATAGTAAACGTTCGAAATAGTAAACACTCAGAGGTAAACACTAATGCGGTGTTGACGAATACCTCACGCTGCGAATCCGTCGAAAATATAAGCCAATGACAGTGCAGAATTTTTTTAAATGGTTCAATCAGAAGGCTCATACAGAGCCCCTGAACCTGCAAATCCGTCAGGCCTCCCCACAGATCCGTCGCAAATGGCCGTAACCATGGAAATGAGCGTGTCAGCCAATCAGATAGCCGGATTTGACCCCCGAATCCGTCAACTTTCATGCGTAAGACCGCTGTTCGTGACTGACTAACATTACTTTGCCGAAGCTCTGCCGCAGCATGAAATGTATAACTGGACTACCGGTGCGATTCAAAATTTTAGTAACTCGATCTACTGGCAACTATAGATAGCTAAAGTAAATTTTTTTTTAAGTAGGCAATTTTTACTTCAGTCGCGCGACTGATTTGACGACCCCTAGATCCGCCCCTGCTGAA